GATCGATTTCAACAAAACGGAAGCTGTCTGTTTATTAGCAGTTTGTTGGGCGCTAATCTAGGCGTTAATGATTGAATCCGAGCGTGGGACTTGTTGCACTAGTCTTTGTGGACTTTTGGGCCTTTGAACGATTTTTGGACTTTTTTCAAAAGAGTTCCATACATTTGTTTCCCTTCTTTCCATTTTCTTCATTAAAAGTCATAAAAATCGACAAATTTCCCTCTTCAAACTCTCTAAAACCCATTAAAATTGATATGCATCGAACAAAAACAAAATCCGCAAATCATCGAATCATCGCTAAGATATTCGTTTTCCAATTGCAACAAATTCCATGGCCATTTAGAATGCATTGATGATGAATATAAATTAGGCAATTCCGCTCTCGGTTTAAACCGAACGAATAAAAAAACAACATTATCATTTGAACGAATGTAAAGATGTAAGCAAATGCGAATGATTGGTTGGAGTATGTGGGATATTCAGTGTGTACTGTGCTATAAAGCATGAAGTCGAAGATGCGTGAAAAGCAACAATCTTTCGGTTTCCCATTCGAACGAGCAGCGGAAATGAGTGTCTATTTCTTGTGTTCACATTAAGAAGTACAATATATATTGCAGCTACTGTTAACATGCATAATTTCATTCATGCAAATTCATTGAGTTAAGAAATCGATGATTACGCAGAAAGAAGTGGAACTATAGAAAATTATGCGCGCTGCAATTTCGATTTGTAAATCGTTCGGTTTATGCACATGTGATTGCAGTTTGGTCGTTGTGTGCGCTAAGGTTTTATTATTCGAAATTATTCGAACGTTAACGTGCAATTTTCTAGTGAATCCCTTTCGCCAATTTCATTTAAAAATAAACGCAGAAAGACGGTGAGAGAGAGAGTTGAGTGCCATTTTTATTCCTTGGAATTGGTCGTTGCCACTTCCTCTAATCATGTGAACTCTTTCAATACAACCAATTTGATTACGATGCATTACGACTCACTTTTTTTCATTTGCATGACTGTATGTACTCACATACACACACGCCTCGTCGATTGGGGACAATCACACGTTGATCAGCTTTGTGGTTTACGTTTGTTTTGACGTCGTTCGAAAATTGACTCACTGACATATATATTCAGCAATATCTCCCGTACTACCAAAACAATTGTTGTTTGGCTTCCGCGATTCGCAAACGATAAGCCACACACGACACATTGTGGGAATCAATTGGATTGAAACTGAAAAGTGCATTCAACTGAAATGCCACCTAACGCTTCATTCAAATGGTTCTATCGCTCTAGGTTTGCACATCTTTTGGTGAACATTTCATATACATAGATCGTTGGTGATTACTAAACTGGAATCTTTTTATGACTCTTTCGCAAAATTCAATATCGAAATCTTCCGAAAGAAAACCGTAAATCAGTGTCACTTTCAAACTTTTGATCATTCTCTCTCTCTCCCTCTCTCTCTCTCTCTCTCTATGTGTGTGCGTCTCGATCGTTCTTTCTCTGTTCCCCTTCATTCCTATCAACTCCATTCACTTTTTTCCATTCTTGTGTTCTTTGTTCATTCGAAGTTCAAATTCCATTTGAATGTCATCCGTTCAATTCCAGTATCGCCCAAAGTTAGAAAATGATGCGAAAACCAGTTTGTAATCTCTTTTAATGTTGTGATCTATTCATTTTATCTCTTTAACATTCAACATAATCCCGTTTGTAAGACCAACCCACGTCAACTCACATGTAAACAGCCGAACAAACATGAGATTGAAGCAAATGCCTTGCGTCAAATGAGAAATTATTCAAATAAAAGGTGATAAATTGTTTGGTGACAAGTAGCTCTTCAATGACTGTATCCATTTGTCATCTTTGTGCAAACTTAATACTTTCGAGCGTCTTTTCAACATATTGAATGACTGTATTCCAGTTCTAAATTGAATTGTTTGCAGCAGTTGCTTGCTTACAATTTAATTAGATGAAGATAGCATTGACCTAGCCCACCAGCAAAACCACGAGCATTTCAATGTGCCGACATAATAACTCGATTCTATTATAAAAACACGAATACCGACTTCGCGCCGAACGCAATTCTATTATGTGAGTTTCTCATCATAAAATTGTTTAATTGAATTCAAAATACATTAATTCAATGTGAATTCAGCAATTAAAAAAAATCGATTGTGAGCCATACGGTGCGGGAGCTTCTATGACTGTTTTTGGAAGTTTTTTTGCTGCCTATGACGATATGTAGGCGGACGAGTCGAAGTGTGATACGCGCTCAATTTTGAATCGATTACATCAAGCATTTTCTTCGACTGCTACCAAAAAAACCGGTTAATTCAAGTGATCGTTTGTGCAACAATGAAAATCTGCGATTTCAAACCAATTGAACTCTGTGTTCTTTTGCAAAGCAATCGATCATCTTGAATTTGTTTATGCAATAAACTCATGGGGAAATGATCAAATTGACAAGATAACAGCAGAAAAACTTGAACAATCTGTGTTGTGCGAACGAAAACAGACACCATCGAAACATCTCTTTCGGTTTTTGGTGTAAAACTGAATTTTCGAAATTTTTCATTTCATTTCAATGTTTCAACTCGGTTTTTTCTGCTAAAAATCGAAAGAAATAAATAATTTTTTGTTTTGCCAAAAGTATGCGTTTGTTTTCAGATTTCTTCATTTATTGAAAATATGCCAAATCGTACCCACACCACAAAAGAAAGTGACTAAAATAGCAGAAATTACGCGAAAACTACTTTTTTCGTCGCCGTAAAATCGTATAGTTTTTTTTTTTATGTATGGCTCGTTGAAAAAAAGTCCAATGGAAATGTGCTCATCGATTGCTCAATGTTTATATATTTCGATTGGTGTAATTTGTATTGACATCGAAAATTCGATGCAGCCAATTCAATTTGGGCAATAATAATCTGCAAAAACGTTTGCGTCGAAAATTAATTGCTATATAGTTTGGCCGAAGCGGATTTCATGGAATTACATAATAAAAACCGATCGCATAATAAACTACCGTATTCGAAATAAGTGAATAAAACACGTAATCGATTTTTGGCAATGATCAAACGGCCAAAACATTGAAATTTGTCTATTTTGCATCTGTTGATGGTATGAGTCATCGATTATCTGCACCGTGCCAACCGATAGTTCACCGTGTTTAACCTTGAGACCGATTTGGGTATTAAATCGGATCGATAGCGGTTTGAAAACAATTTGCGGCTAATGAACAGTTTCTTTACACGACTTTGACCAACAGCCCATATGGCCAACAGCACACTCACCAATCTGGTAAATATTCAACGCGAGATTGATCTGTTTACTGTTTGCATACTGCTTCTGTTCGGGTCTCTTTTCCTTCTTCGAGCATGTAAAAACCGATTTCAAGTACCGCGTTTACATTTTATAACGATTTCAAATTTTATTATCGCTTTTCGTAACAATTTCATATTATCTCGTTCCGTTTTGATGGTTTTTACTAGCAAAGCAGTAATATTTCACATATTATATGATTACAGTGTTTGACTTAAGTGTCGATACCTTTTAACTGGAATTGAAAATAATGTTACGAAAACGATTGCAACGAACGAGTGCGGTTCGAGTTCAGAAAGGTTGAACTGTTGTGGTGATCGGATTGGGTTTTAACGAGGTTTTCAACCGATCGATCTTTTTCTATTTGCTCAGAATTTCTGGATGATATTTTTCTTCTTTCAATTAAATTCTTTGTTTTTCGACTTTGTCTTCGTTTTTGAAACGTTTTTTTTAAATCGTCGAGCCACCCATTAAAATCTGGCCAAAAAGACAATATCTGATTGAAAAAAATACGCCAGACAGGTAATAAATTTGTTGTAAAACGTGCACTGGTCAACAAAGATGTCCTTCGATTAATTTGAATTGAGCATTTTTCCATGTGTTGGACACCATATTCATCACATTAAAAGGATTAATATATTATTTTTATGTGCTTCTAACATGAAACGTTTGAAACGTTGTTCCATGGAAAGGTGAATAGAAAAAAGAACGAAAAAAATCAATAAAATGGAGAAATGGTTTGCATGTGAAATGAATACCAATCCAATTATTCTCTGTATATATGATTAGCTTGGATATTTTGTGTTTGAACACGTGTGGCTATCATTGTACTATTCAAAACAAAACTAAATTGGAATGCATGTAATAATGCGTGTTTAATAACTTTCTATCCATCGAATGGTAAAAAATCACAATTGAGACCAATTTACTGTGAGCCCATGATTGTGATCGGTAAAGGTACCCCGAGGTCGTAAGTGTACGATGACGTTGGATAAATGAAAATATATCGATTTTTTTCACTGGAATTTTTTATCGCAGTACAGAAAAAAATGTCTAATTACGTTGTACATACGCGAAAGAGAATAAAAACAAATATTATTTTCATGGCGGAAGTGCGTTTCGTGGTGTGCGCAAAAAAAAATGCTGGTGACAGTAGAATCGTTGCCGTTACACGACTGAGTGAAATTGGAACAAATGTTTCAACATTTGGGTCATAAATATCATTTGGCAAAGCGGCTTCATATTCATCACTTGCTTCATGTTTTACCGTTCGTCCTTGCCCACTTCGAAGTGCCAATCGAACCGAAAACAAATTCCACAAATTGGTCATTTTATTTTTTACCTTTTAAACGCAACCGGTAAAACAAGCCGAATATATTTTTCTTTCTGATTGCTGTAAATTGTGTGGAACAAAGATGTTCGTGAACCGTTGATAATAAACAGGCGACTCCTTTGCAGAGTTTCGCTTTGCCAACCAAATGATGAGGCAGTTTCAAGTGCTCAGTCATTTTGATCGCGAAATGATGAAATTCAGCAGTGAAACATGCCTCTTTTTATAAACCGTATCGACATGTAATTGCTTAATTGAGGCGAATGAACGCATTTGAACATTTTTTTCAATTTATTTTTTTATTGCGTAGAATTTTAATTTAAAGAGAATTATGAATGTTGAACACACTCACCTCAAGTTTCTTGGAATATTCTTCGATGATTTTCTCTTGTTGTTTTGCCAGCTCTTCGTTTTTCTCGAGCAACGCTTTGCCCAGCTCGGCCGCCAACAATAAGTCTGACTCTTTTTTCTGCAATTGCGTCCATAGATCTTGATCATTAGGCGTCCCATGGTCTGGCGGTCGCGTCTCCATATCGAATATGTAATCCTCTAAAGTAGGTTTCATTTTAGCCATTTTTTTTCTCTTTCGTTTGTTTACTTTGTTATCGCTCAATTTTATAATATTTTACTAGCAATATATAAATTAAGCGATGTGGATCGATGGAGGGGATAGATTAAGTACAAACCACCAAATATTAATTTAAATGATACACTTAAGACATTTTTGTGAGAAAACAAACAATGTTTTGACGACTTTTGTAAAAAATCGACAAATTCTTTTGAGTTTCGAACAATTTTTGAAGGTTTTCGTTCATTCTTTTGTATTTATCATCGAAGCAACATGAAATTTGTCAATTAAGTCATTTTTTTGGTCTATGAACGATGTTTTATTCGAAGTTTTTAGTCTTTGAAGCACTATTTTCGGTTCTATCTACGATTTTCTACACTCTTTAACGAATATTCTCAAAAATTATCAAAAAAATGTGAGAATTCCGCCGATACTCAATAGTTTTTTACAGTTTTCATCTAACATTCGCATTGATTATGGTCAAATACATAATGTTTCATCACTTTAAAAGCAAAATCAATTGTTTTTGCACGTTCGCGCTTTATTCACAGTCAATTTTTTTTGGTGAAATTGGCATTTTCATCAAATAATACCGAATATTACTTTTTCATATTTGGGTTGGTGTTTATCGATATTCTCAAAAATTCTCGGTCATTTTAGGTCGTAAAATCCGATATTTTTCTCTTCCCATGAAAAGTCACTTCATACAAGAGCGTTTGTGGTTTGTCTTCTTTGTTCCGAACAAATTATTCACAGTTACCGCGAAACTCAATAATAAAATAAAAAAATTCAGTTGAAAAAATGTCCGATTCACAGTTTTCGAGTCACATACTCTCTCTATCAATTGACAGCACACTCTTTTTGTTCAAGCTATCTGACACAAAATTGTGCACTACAAACAACACTTGATGTGTATTTGTTCATCGCGATAAAATGTCTCGATAAAATGATTGTGACACAAAGGTACAGAAAAAAACACACGAAAAAAAAATAATTATTTGACATGAAAATGAGTGGCAGTAGAGTTCACGGTTAATGCACATACACACAAAACAATAATTTCCACATTGAATGAGAATTGGCAGATGGTGTTTTTTCTTCTCTTTCTGTTTATGAATTTTCGATCGACGAAAAAAAGCGACACAAAATTTTGTGTGAGGGTGTTTTGGTTGTTGCACTTACACACACGGTGCTTAGAGACGACTGCCGACAAATGTTTGTTGACGTTTGCCGTCGTCGTTGTCGATAGTACTATTGATTTGTGATTCAATGACAACACCGGCGTATCGAATCAAATATTAAGTGTACACCATCACCTGATGTCATATTTTCCAGTTTTCAATAAATTTATGTAAAAAAAAGAAATCCCAACGAGGCAGTGTGTGTGTGTTTTTAGCTTGACAAATTACATGAAGAATGATTCAAGAAATGTTTATACCATAAAGCCAATGCGAACATGCGATTAATCAGTGAAGCGATGTTATTTACAAAGCCATTTTTAGTCCAGTTTTATTTCTTTACCTTTGTCGTTGAGATTGAAATTCTTATCAAACTTGCACTGTTGTTTCAATAGAACACTTCTAACGGTGACACAGAGACAGTGTGTTTTTGCCGATTTCCAATTAAAAAAAAAACAATCACCAATTAGATGGATGAACGCTGTGGTTTTCTGTTTTTCAATCGATACACTTGTTGAGCTGAATCACCAATATTGAATAATAAATTTATTATTCTTTTCACATAAAACAAACATTTAACACATGGTGTTTTTTTCTGTTTTTCGGTAAAAAATATATATAAAATTTGATGCTGATCGAAATTAGAAACAGTCCACGATTCAAACCATCAACCGAAGAAAAACAATGCACGTTTGTGTTAATTGGTTTTGGTTCACGATACAATACGTGTGTTTTCGATCACAAAACACACGATGACAACAACAAAAATAAAAAAAAAATATTGTAAACGGAGCACAAAACAGCTGTCATTCGGCTGCCAACTGAACACAAACTAAAGTGAACGCAACGAATCCAATACGAAACCACCGACAGAAAGGAATATTACATGCCACACACTCTTTCTCTCATTCTTTCGCTCGAGTGTTGGTGTATCGTACAACGATCGAACGTGCAGCGTGCGCGAAACCACAAAGGTGTGAGTGAGCGAAAGAGCAAAAACTAAACAATGAAATGTGAGAAATGAAGAAAAAAATGACGGCACGAAACTAGCGACGTGCGTTATTAGTTGATGGACAGAGACGGGCTGACGCAGCAGGAACGAGAAACAATAGCATGAGCGAGTGTTATACGTTTTCTTTAATAATATGCAAGTTTACAACTAATTTCTTGTGCTTTGTTTCCAACAAGAATGAATGTGGTTGTGTGTTGCGCAGACCGCAACGAAGTCAACGAAACACACAACCGCACAATGCGGAATTTATGCTGTTTCGTTGAGTTTTTCTGTCTCTCTCTCACACACACACACTATTTCGTTGAACTCATTGCTCGATCCAAACAGACAACTACTCAACTGTACACACGTTGAATCCGCATAGCTACTTTGTATCTATTTTGTACATTATCAATTGACCATTTGAATTTACCGCATTTTCCCTTTCAATTGCACACATTTTTTAATCTGGACTCTTGTTACTATATATGCAATGCAACGCATACTCGCTGACATGAATGAACAAACATCATCGACTGTTTGAAGCTTGTGATGCGGCAATAAAATGCACTTTCTCGTGCACAACAAACAACGAAGATGACTTTAGAAATGCGCTTAAACTTGTTTTTATGGAGATTGACATTTGTGGAATGTTAAATAGCGGTTTTTTAATGCTTCAATCGATCTGATAAGATTGTACCCAATTTTGTTCCCTTCTATTTTTGCATACAAGCATTACAAGAGTTAGATAAAGTTGAAGGTTTGACGGTTTTGAATGACGGAAAAAGTGAGTGTTTAGATTTGATTTATTTACAACGAACACCGTTGACAGGGTATGCAGGGCCAAAAGTTTTAATGGTATGCAGGGCCAAAAACGGCGTTTCAAGACATTTCGGTGACGATTAATGATTTGATGAAATTGCTTGTTGATGAAAATCTTTATTTTTGATGATATCACCTGGTCGTTGAGACGTATATGTTACTTTGAAGAAATTTTCGTATTTTTTTGTCGAAAAAACATCGTTTTTTGAAGAAGGAAACCTTCAATTTATGATTTATTCCTTCCTGTGGATCTTATTTACCAACAACAATTAATAAATTCCAAAAGAGATTTGTTCTATCGTCTTGGCAACAGTATCGATTTAATAAACGCAACACCAACTGTCACGAAAGTAAACAAATATTTGTCAAAGAATTTGTAGTAGCAAAACTGTGCGAATTTTAACTCGAAAATTCAGTTTGATTCGGTTCGATTGCCACAAAATCCGGTGAACAATGGCAAAGTCCACAACCCCATCCAATGAACAATTGGAAATGGATCAAATGGCCGAAGCGGAACTGGAACGTCTTCAAAAACAGGTTGGAATATGACCATACTTGACACACTGTTATTACTTTTTGCTTAAATTTGTGGATCTTATTCAAATTCCAGCTTCGAAAATTGGAGAAAGATCGTTTGTCATTCATATGTGAAAAGAAAAATGCATCGGTGAAACGTGATCGACTTATCGAAACGTTGAAAAAAGAAAAAGTGCAATTGCAAGAGCGTTTGGATGCCATCTCCACCGGTCCTCATGCTCAGCGTGAACTCAAAGTAAGTTTAACGATGCGGTTTTTTTTTGACACCGAAAACTTTTACATCCGGCTATGGTGTGAAATATGAAACTAATTCTTCTGATTTATCATTGAATTCCTCGATACTTATTAGACGGAGCGTAAAATTCGTACTCTATTGAAAAGGCAAGAAGACATTGAGGCTGCGACAAAAGAAAAGAAAATTCAACTATGGGAACTTAATGGACACATCAAAAAGGTAGAAAAGATTTGTGTGGAAAAGAAATTCAAAAAAGTCTTTTGCATTACATTGTGTCTGATAAGGAAATGAGATGAATATTTTTGCTTCCATAGTTGGAGAAGGAAATAAAAACACTTCAAGAATCGCAATCAACCGAGCAAATTTATAGTGAACAATTATTGAAATCACGTGATGACATTAAAAAGCTGGAAAATCAATTGGAAGTCGTACAGAAACGATGCGGCGAAGCAATGTCTGAGAATACAAATCTACGGGGATCAATCGATCATTTGCTGCTGGAAAGGTAAGTACTTGTTTGGATTTGTTTACTTTGTTATATGCATACCTAATATGTGAGTCTTGAAATAGAAAAGCCACATTTTTGAGGAGAATTCATCAAATTGAATGAAATTGACACGTTTTTGACAATTATTTCACTTCAATTTATTTGAAATAATTTTTTTTACAAAAATATTTGAAGTCCACATTTTGAACAACCACTCTTACTTGCTTTTAAAAGAGTTCGTTAAACGGTATAAAAAGTGCTAAAGTGTGCAAATATGATAAGCCCAGAATAAGATTAGGCCACGACAGATGTGGTTTTAAGTCATATGACTGTACCTTTAAATCTACTTTGCTTGAAAACATTTCATTCTTATGTATGGTTTGTATTATTGGTGGGATTTTCGTGCTTTGCCTCCTCGCCGCAGTGTGCAAAATGAAAAAAAAAGTTTATAAATCTTTCAATTTCTTATATAGAGCCTGAGTGCATAATATATTGAAAAAAGTTGCTCTGTGTGCCTAAATGTGAGTGTTATCTTTTTAAAGTGTATATTTTTAGCAAAAACTGATTTTCTCAGTAATCCAAAGTGAGCGTGTTTTGTTTGATGCAATTTCAGATTTAAATGTGTTTCCTTTGTCCGCTCCAGAACCATTAGAATTTTTTCCATTAATTTTATGATGCCATGACATAAGTGTATGCCATGGATTAGCACTTGATGTAGAGCAAACCATTGAATGCAAAACAATACCGTCAACGCCCGTTATTTCCTCTGATGTCACGATTTTGTGCTCTCTTCACCTTTTGCACAATCACTTCAATGATGAATATAATGCTGGAAAATCCCATCAGATCCAGATAGATTATCAACGGAATTTTAAGTTGTTCCATAGTCACAGCGTAGTTGTCATGACTTGTGTCATCGAGAATTTGATATGAACGAAGTTTCGTTACAAATGTAGAAAAACCTTTGTAAAATCTTAATTAACCACTTTCTGTCAATGAACAGCTCGTCTTTTCTATAACACGTTTCATTCGTTCGGGAACATGTTGATTTTATGTCAATGCATTCGTATTGTCGATATTGGCATTGATTTTCGTGTTCGATCTTTTCGACTTCTTGTTTGAATCCTCGGCGACATTTTGGACAATGGAATGGAAATTCGTTGGCGTGGACTTTCATGTGTTGATTCAAATTATTCTTTTGTGTAAAAGCCTTTGCACATATTTCATATTCGAAAGACCTTTTACCAGTGTGGATTCGGATGTATACATTGAGATGTCCTTTTTGTGATGTTGCATAGCTACACACATGACATTTGTATTTCTTAAGCTTCTCTTCACCACTCCGCTTTTTTGCTTTAGATTTCCGTCCACGTTGCCCTTTGTTATTGTATGCATTTTGTAATGGACGGTGTCGACGATCACCACTTCTATTATCACCTTTGCGTTGATTTGAACCATCATCTGGTGTTGATGAGCAGCAACTTTTCTTTGAACACTCTTCTTCATCTTCACTCTTGATTTCTTTTTTCGCACAATCAAGATCTTATTTCGTACTCGGCTCACTGTCGCTCTCGCTCTCCGATTTAACCGTGCCATTTACATCAATCGGTATTGGTGATGGTGCTGGTGAAAAATGAATCAATTCAGCGCCATCTCTTGGCTCCTCTTTGACAACGACTTCTTCTTTGATTGTAACCTTCGATGCTGCATGCTTGCACTTGCACCTGCGCTTGCTCTTTCCACCCAATGTACCTTTGACTGAATACGGATTCATTGTGATTTTGGCCAACTACGCGAGGAAGAGAAAATAAAAGAAAAACTCAATTAAGCTTTTATGCGAGTTGAAATGTATGTGCTTTTGATGGATTTTACTTTTCCGCACACACCTAGGTATATATTTCAATAGAAGAATTACTATAATTTCCTCCGTTTCGTTTTCCCTTCACATTATAAACAATTACTTCAACAATAAAAATAATTGCAGCAAATGCTGTTAGGCTCAAATAGATAATCAATGGAATTTTTAGTTGTGCTACAGCCAAAGCAAAGTCATCACTACTTCCATCGTCCAGGCTTTGTTTCGAATGAAATTCCGTTAAAAAGATAGAAAAAGATGCATAAAATCGATGTAAACCACTTTCCATCATCGAACTGCTCGCTTTTTCAATAAAACGTTTCATACGGTCGGATACATAATGATCTGTACTTATTAGATGTCCATAGTTCAATGAACCTGAAAAAATCGTATTGCTGCTTAAAAAAATGTAAGAGAAAGAATATAAAAATCGTAGTACCAAGCTTATCTTGCAACACATCAATGTCTCGCAACCCACTCGCTACAATCTTCATGTTATCCAATACAGGTGCGCAAATCACATATGCAAATGAATTTCGATTTTCTTGAGCTGTTGCCAAAAAAGATGTCATTTTTCCCACATACTTATAACTTGATCCAATTTTACTTCTGAAAACAAAATTATTAAATTCAATAAAATAATGGTCCATTTCAATATATGAGGGAAACCATCTAAACCTCAGCATTCCTTTTACGATATCCTCTTTTAATTTCAAATAATGTGCAATATATATGGGCGGATTTATTTTTGATAGCTCAGTGAATGTCCTTATGCTGTGCTTACGCAGAAGAAATGCGGGAACTAACACATTTTCAAACCAAAATGTCGTTAAGAAAAAGCAGCCAATCAGCAAAGCTCCGAAGATCCATCGCTCGAGTTTATGGTGGATGCGTAAATTTCCGCCCCCAAAGAAAGCAACGCTAACATCAATCAATGATGAAATGTAGCCATCACGTCGAAGTAGACGGGTTCTGCGTATATAACACACTATGGCCGCCTCAAACATGAAGAGACTCAAAATTGCAACGCTAAAATTTGCTTTCGATTCGCTGAAGATATGATAGTCTTCACGCTTAAAATCATCACCGTAAGCAAAAATTACTTTCAACTCAACGGATTGGTATGGGTACATCGATGTCCGTTTTTTATAAGCACGTTTCGTAGGCGAATATGTATTTATATCGATATGCAACGTTTTCGGGTGATTTGCAATCAGTTTCTCCCTGAAAATAAAGTCAATGCAGTTATAATGATCATTATTTTTATCAACTCAAGTGTTTACAGTTTGTCGTCAACAATTTCTTCATATTCCATTGAGAGTTCCTTGTAAAATTTTGGAAATTTTTGCTGAACATAAAAGTATGAGCCGGTTGGATTGCTACACATTTGTTCTTTATGGTAAATGGATGTAGCATTCAATTTCAAGTAGAAGAAATTAACAATGAATGAATATCCATTCCAGGTGTTATATGATTTTCGTTTTGCTTCGCTATGATCACAATGCACTTGCACAAAATAATTTATAACAATTAACCAATTTTGTTCAAACTTTTTGAATATCGAATCAAACAGATTCTTATCTCTGGCGATTTCGGCGATGTCATTTTCCTTAAAGACGCGATCAATAATTCCACTTCTTTGTTCGTCGCCGCCATTGATTTCTTCATTGACTTTGTATTGATTGAACAGAATAAAAACATCAATCGAGCCGGTTTCTTGATTGACATACAGAACAAGGTTATCGAAATCAAAAGTTGAACTGAATTTTTCATTTTTGTCGGATTCGTGATCGTCGAATGAAAAGAAGAAAATGCGATAAAATGTAAAAAATGCTTTGACGTTATCGATGTCCTTGGGTAAATCGTCGAGTTCAACGAAAATCAATTGAAGAATGTGATCGGTTTTTTCATTTGGTTTCCATGGCAATTGAAGTGATTGCACAGTGACGTCAGTAGACAGCCATGGAATGGAACGGGGACAGTTCGAATGAATTTCGTTGATCAGTTGATTGACCGGAAATGCATTTGGATCGTAGAGAATGTGACCAGTGCGAAATTGACCATCCATGAACAAATGGCAAACGAAAAGTGCCAAATTATAGAAGTTTGGACTATTCGGTGCCGAAAAACTCATTTTGTTTTAATGGTAATTCATTTAAAGCAACTGAATTGTAACTTTTATAAAAATTATTTCTAATCGTGAAATTATTTCTAAGCTGAAAATTGTCTACTACATATATCAATCCTTTAATAATGTCTTGTACTTTGAAACGGGTCTGATTTGTTTAAAAGTTTGACGTCAACTGACGTGGTTTATTCCAGAATTTTCTGAACTGAATAAACCCATAAAAATGATAAGCATAAATTCTTTGTTAGGATTATAAATGAAACACCAGCACCGTAGGGTATCTCAAATTCAACGGAGCTCCATAATTTTACAAAAAATTGTCATTTGTTTGCAAGGCTAAAAAATGAAATGCCGGAATATTTCGCATGAATGAATATTTTTTCGGGTGTTTCATTGCAGGAGAAATTGGCAACTTTCAAGTCTAGGGGGTTCCGACTTATACGAATGTTCCATATGCGAGCGAATGTTTCATACAAATTTTGCGAATAGTGGCGGATGTTTCATACGAATTTGCGGACGGTGTCGAATGTTTCATACACATTTTGCGGATGGCGCATATGAAAAGTCATATTTTTACATTCAAAAAGTCAAAGTGACAGATTAGTTGACAGAGATTCAAGCCGAATTGATATTTTTTTGGTAATATTGAGTGAAATTTTTCTGAAATGGTAAATAAATCTTTGTCACTCGTAATATAATCACTGTAAGGCACCGTTGTGAAAGGTTTTTATTTTGATTGACGAAACTTTCAATTTCTTTTATATTATCTGAATTTATTTCTAAAATCTCACTTTTCGAATCGAATACGGCTTCTAAAATAATATTCAACAAAAAATCTTGTAATTTTTTTTTCGACTGTTTTTCAAATTTAGTTGAGAACAATCACATTGTGTTTGAAACTGCTACGACAAACTGAACACAGCAATGTGTATGTTCAAATGTCACACGACAGTTTGTCGCATCTAGCAAGACGTATGCGGCATCCGCGAATGGTTGCGAATGAAATGTACGAATTTTCTAAGATGTTGATGCGGATGAATATACTTTACTTCGTATATTTCATGTATGAATAGAAAAATGTTTATATATTCCGTATAAAATGGCATTCGCATATAGTAAAATGCCCCTTGTTTCAAGTGCACCGAAATGTAGTCCAATGCAGATGAAGAAGATTTTCCGAAGTTTCGAGAAAAAGTATTTAATCACTCTCAGATCTATTTATTTTCAAAAATCATCAAAAATTGTGTGAAGCAATTCGAGGGTTTCAGAAATTTCCAGGAGGGTTGAGCCCTGTATGGACGCTACGGCACTGTGAAACACCATTATATTGCGTCTGCAAATTGGACTTTAATAGTCGACAAATTGTTGTATGCATTTCGAATAGTGTGATATCCATCATCGGCTACACACGTTTTCGCCGTGTACGGTTTTTGTGTAATCACTTGTACTTTTAGTCATGCTACTGATGATGGATAGTTCACTATCCGAAATGCATACAAAATTTGTTGATTGTTAATGGTGTTTTATTTATAAACTCTCTAATGTAAGTGTAGTCAGACTCCATTGTGTGCTGTAAAGTATTTTGTGATGCCATAACACATAAAGTAGAAAGTTTCACCGGTCAGCGGTAATAATTTTAGTGTGCATTATACTTTTGTGCGTGTTAAAGATAATTTTGAACGGCCTTTTTTTAAAAAAGGAAATAAAATACAAAACGCTTCTTCTCTATGGAAGTTTATTTTGAACTTATAACAAACGTATAATGATTACGGATTATATTTTTTTGTTCTAAATAAATAAAATGATAATCTTTTCCGCAAGACAAATCGAGTCTACGCTATAAACTGTGTTTTAATTTCAAATTTTTTTTTGTATCATTATCATTTTATCATCGTAGATTTTCAAGCTCTAATTTTAGATCGGATCCACGGCATATATTCGTCGACACGCTGTATGATCAAAGATTTCATGTTAATTAAAAAAAAAAAACTATAAAACATTTATTAATTACCAAACTTACTGTATAAACACCTGGCCATCCATCTTGTCCACATTCGGCTGGTCCAAGGGAAACAATGCCCACCAAGTAGTAATATACTCCGTTACCATTTCTACGTTTTATCAATAATGGACCACCTGAATCTCCTTTAAAATATAAACATTCATTAATTGCTGAAAATTCACATGATATTTTGAATAATTTCAAAACATTTGGCTCATGAAGTAATCATTTTTAAATTCACACATCTATACAAATCATTTACCTTTACATGTGTCAACTCCGCCATGACCTCCAGCACATATTTGTTTGTTTGTTAGAGGAGAAATTTGGGACGATTCTTGATATTTTTTACTGCAAGTATCAAGTGAAACGGCATCAACTTCAGCCCTCATTTTAATAGGACTGTATGCCCCTATAGAATAAACAAATATTTTAAAATCAAAACAATGTAGTAAAGCGTTTTAGAAATGAAGATGGCTTACTATCCTCCGTTCGTCCCCAACCACAAATTTCCATTATTTCACCATCATGAAAACTATGATTATTGGCATTCGATGGTAAACAAACTGGTCTTATAAAATCCGTAGTTCTAGCCGGATGTTCCAAACGAAGCAAAGCAATATCATTTTGTAGAGTATATAGATTATAGTCTTCATGTATAATATGTTCCACAACGCGGATATTTTGAACTGGATCCGCTTTTGTTTGTTCGACATTTTCGTCGAAAGCATCTACAGAATCTGGGTCAGTTCTTAAATCAAACTCACCAAGTCGTACGCCTTTTGATGTGGATCATTCAGCAGAAAAGTAGAAACAAAAATTACTTCATTTGAATCAATTAGATCTCATTTCAGTTATTCTATTACCTGTAACGTTCAAATTTTTTCGCAGGTTTTTGATGCAATGTGCGGCTTAAATTTGAAAATAGAAATTGATTATTAATTTTTTTTATTTTTTTTGTGTGATTTATGTACCTGTTAAAACATAGTTCTCATTGATTATAGAGCCAGCACAATGGAAGTCTCTACGGCCATTTTCGGCTAGAAAAACAAATCAAAACGAATGCATTTCCATTTGAAGAGAATAAAATACAGATAGAGAGAGAATAAACTAATTCAAAACCCAATTTCTGCATGATTTATCAATTTTATTACGTTTTGTGTGTTCAATTAACGCCATCCACGGGTGTTCATCGATTAATGCCTCTTCACCACCAAAAATACGATATGCCAATTGAGTTCCACACTCTCCAGGTTGGGGTAACTTGACTGATGATGATCTTAATGAGAAGGTTGCTGGTTGTGATGGAGTTTGTGTCGTTTGCCATGGACAGCATATCTATTTACAATAATTTGTCAACATATAATCATAATTGCTTAAGGAATATAAAATAAACAATTATTTTGAAAAATTACCAATTGATACCCGTAGTAGACTCCACAACCGTATCCATCGGGGTTGTAATTTGTAGAACACTCAGCTTCATAATTACACAAACCTTTTCTATTATCAGACGTTGTACATTCTTCTAAAATTTGTATATGAAAAAAATGAACTTTTCAAAAGGACGTTGTGACAAATATATATTCGACGAAATAATTATCAATCACTTTTGAAGAAATGTCCACATTTTCTAATGCTTTATTTACACAGTTCTTCCCATTTCCCATTTTGGCCACATTTTCAACATTATTTAACTTCCTATAAATCATCTAAAAATAGGCTTTCGAATGGTAATTTTCATCGCTGATTGCAAAAATGGCCTTAAATTTGCAATTCGTTCTATGCAGTTCCAAACTGACTTAATATCACAGGCAGTAATAAATTTGATAGACCATTTTTTTCTTTGAAAATTGAACAAGTTATACCGAAAACCGAATGCTAAAAACTGACATTTTTTACGTTGGATCATTTCTTGTTGTATGATAATGTTGTTTATAATCAATTATATTTATATACACTATTTATGTAATCTATTTATAAAATATTAGTTTTTTTTCTGACAAATTTTTGATTTCAGCTATTCAAATCTTGTTTATGTTTATATTTGATTTATTTCAGTTTTAAAAACCACCCGAGTCGAAGAAAAGTGACTAAGTTACTATTGACTGTAAGTGACTATAGTTAGCTATATTCATGAATTTTAAAATTTTGTATGGAAAACAATCGACTATAGCTACTCAGTCAGTCAGGCGATTATTTTGGGACGTTTTGACTATCGGGTGACTATGATTATTGTCAACTATAGTTAGCTGTTGCAGTTAACCATAGCTTACTTTAATTGATTGAAGTTAACTAAATTTAACTAAGGTTGCTTGTTTTTACAGTCAATAGTCAGTCAGTTTGTCCCAAAATAGTGAGTCACTTTTTTTGTACACGGGCACTTATAATTTGCACAATAAATTTGCACACAATTCAATAAATAACACTTACGACAAATTCCAAATGCAGTTAAGCATAATAGATAGAAAATTATTGCAATGTAGTTTTTCTTCATTATACTTTCTATGCTGACTGTTTAATTCAAGTGCTCCCCCGTTAATAAAGTTAGGATGCCTTGTATAAAGACTAAAGAGTATATAAATCCCGGTCATATCAATAAAAGCGATTATGCGGTAAATACAGTTTTTCAAACGTTCTCTTTTATCATGTTCGTTTGCATCTAGTACGGCGTTTATAATCTCGTTCAATTCGAACGAACATGATTTTCGCATAATTTTTTTTTTCTGTTTCGTGTTCCTTTGCATTAACAAACGTAGAACAACAATTCGTTTGCTTATCAAATACAGAATACAACTACATATATGAAATAAAAAACATCATTACCAAAAATGGATGTGTCTATCTCGGAAATCTATATTAAATTCTCGGAAAATGTCGTTTTAAATGGTCAAATTGTTGAAACCCATTGTTCTTTCTTTCAACGGCCGTTTCTTTCAATTGAAGATTTTTTGTAAAGAATGCAATCGAAATTCAAATTTACACGTAAAAACAGTGAATAGATTGGGCTACAGCTATAGCAGTGCTATTTTCACAATTTGAAGTGGAGCTGTGAAAATAGCACTGATATAGCTCAATCTATTCACTGCGTAAAAACATTTGAAACGTCACGGCCAGAACTTCCAAAAAAGTATTTTTCTACTAATCGCACTGACGATTACAACGTATCGACGTATGTTTCTTATACTCTTTCTCTTTCGTTTTTAATGTGATTTGCATGGAACGCAGCGATAAAATAAATTTCTTATAACACTTGACACCACTTCCTTCATAGATTGAACATTTCAAAGAATTGAAAGCAATCATTTCGTAGAATTTGCGATGTCAAACAGACTTTTTAAATGAATTACACAAAATTTGGCGTTTTTCTTTTATATTATTGAGCTTAAACTAAATGACTAATATTCGAAGTAATAAAATAAATATCAAATCAAAGTCTAATAAACATAAAGTGGAATATAAACTGGAAAGCCATACAAAACGCCTGTCCGTGGTGAAATTCCTGCGTTCGCATTTGCATCCGTTGGAAATTTAATGGGATGGAGTCCAGTGATTGCTGGTTTTGGTGTGGTAGTTGTTGCTGGCGGTGTTGGTGGATTTGGAGCTGGTGTTCCATCTTGTGGAAATTTGATGGGAGCCAGATGCAAACTCTCCTTTATTTCAAATAAATCAATTTCAAGTATAGAATTTTTTCGAAATGAATACTTTCATCACACATTTACCTGAAAATTCGGATATGTAACAATCGCTTCTGTGAACACTACAAAACTGAATATTCCAAAGAAAATCACTTCGTTCTTCATTTTATTTCGTAAGTGGGTCAAAAGGTTTTCAAAAAGTAAATATTATTGAAATTCGTTTTAATTTTCGAAAATAACGCAGTAGATAATGTTCAACTTTGATTAAATGTGTCAACTGGAACGTTATCAGAATGGAAGTATTCTCTCAACATTTAAACGTTTACTGATATCGTTATTGAAGAAACACCTTTTTTATATGTGACGGAAGTTCTGCATGAAAAAAGGTTCAAGCTAAGACTTGCTCTAGTTGATCAAACATTTGATCAAAATCATTCGTTGAATCGGAAGAAATAAAAAGTGTCATTGAATTCGAAAACATCTGTTTGTTGGTGTACATAAATTTGTTCTTGTCATTTGAAAAAAAATTAAAACAAGTGTTTTTCACATTTATTGACTTGCATAAAAAGTAAAACAAAAGATACAAAGTGACAGAAATACATTTGTACTTATTTTGACCGTCATAGTTTTGGTTGTGAGAAATTATCAGACATTATATTAAGATATTTTCTAACTGAATCAGCCCAGATAGCTAACGATGTTACCATAACGTTGAGCCAAAAATGCTGCGATAACAATATGAAAGTGATTATTAAAGTTATAAAAACACTTCAATTTTTACAACTATTATAACAATCACTTCTATTATCACTCAAGCATTTGCCTTTAAAAATCAGTTTGGTTTCTACGAAAATTAGTATTCAATCTATTTGAATATTGAAACAGACCCATTTCAGCATTTTTTCATCACTGAATTTTAACCCTTAACCGGGCAGGTCAATATCCTAACGTTATCGGCAAGTGGGGCCTCTGAGACCCGACGTACATTTTCCATACAAATTCAATGAAAAAAAAATTTTTTTCTTTTTTTCAAATTCCATTGAATTTATAATGGATTCGGCCGACGGCTTGTCAAATGGTTCCATGGATATTTGACAGCGCGAACACAATTTGT